TCCAAATATCAAAGTAAGTATTTCTAACTTGATTTCTCCCATCCTCTCATAGAATTTTCAGATTTTTAAACACTTTAAGGTTAGGGTTCTTGAATGATTTTGAAATGGGGGATGTTTTGACTGAACATTTTGGGTTTAGATGACTTACATGAGTTAGGTTAAGGGTTTAATCGGTTTAGTTTTGTTAGATTTGAAGTTATATGAAAATTGAATATGGGGTTTGTGAGATATGGAGGTTATTGAAGGTTGATGATAATGTGGTGGTTTGAATAGAAATTTCATGATTAAGTTATGCTATTATGTGTTAGAATTGATGTTTAACCAGTTTAGATTATTGATAAAGCTTGAAATTTTCAAATGGATATTTTGAGAGTTGAAACTTAAGTGTGAAATTGGGGATTTTGATCAAATTGAGTAATTTGAAGTAAATGAATGATCTAAATGAGTTGATTGGGCTATTGCCACTATAACTTTAGTGTTGGAATGATTAGATGGTGATTATGGTAAGAGTTGGGTTCTAGAGGAACCTTGAGTTTTTATGTTTGTTGTGAACCACTCTATTAATTGCAAATTAATATGTGGTTACTTGCTATTATTGTAGATTGGTTATAAATTGTTGGCTTGAGCACAGAGCTTGGTTTGGTTTGCTATTGTATGGCTTTGGTTAAAGGTAACCACTTTCCACTTATTATACATGCTTGTATGATGTTTCCAGGTGATTTTTAAATTACATAAGATTTTTGAAATGCCAATGGCTTATGATTAGGCATTGAAATATATTATTGTTAAAATTGCCTTGAGATACTTTATGTTATTGAAATATAGTTATGAAACTATGATTTTATAAACTTGTCTTATGGGACATGATTTTATTAAGAAAAGATTTTGAGGATTGATATTGATAACTCAAGTTAGAAATCTTTATTTTGACAAATGTGAAAATTTATAACCTTATTGGTAAATGATTATTATATAAATCTCATGAGTATAAATACAAGGGGAATGGAGAATGTTGATTCATGGGAAGCATATTATAGAGGAAATAAGGTGATAGGATACCAATGTACATTAGTTGGTCCTTTGTGTCTTTTCATGTATTATAAGGCGATGACACCCTATTAGTGGACTAAAGGGGGAACCATACTCTAGTCTTGTGTTTTGTGAATTTTGGTAGGTCCATATTACTTAATTAGTGAGCTTGTTAATTTACCAATTACATGGGTCAGTACTATCCCATGGGTTCAGTTAGAGAAAATAAGGTGGGAGAAAATAAGAGAAATTTATGAATAAATCACTTTATATTAATATGTGCATAACCATGTGACAAGTATGAATGTTATGCTTTTGTAACCATCCCACTTGATATCTCACGAGCACTTACTGTATACTTGATGAGTAGAATTATTGGTTATTGAGGTTTTTGTCTCACCCGGTGGTTTAACATTTTCACGTGATAGCTCTAGGGTTAGTCCATTAGGTAAGGTGCTACAAGCATAGCTATCAAGTTAATCTTGTATAGCATCCTTTTGTTAGGTGATGGGTATTTGTATATTGCTACATCGGGCTCATTTTGCATACTCTGATTTATTTGAGACTGATTGCTGTTGGATTACATACTGGTAGAAGGACGAAGGCCTCTAAGTGTTTGCTTGTGGCTATGAGTTATGGATTCACAATGACTCTTGAAAATATTTTAATATCGTTGTTTTTTTGGAAAATTATGAAAGAGGATTATTCAAAAAATGTCCTACTATAAGCTTGTGGTTGAATATGACATTCTGGGCCTTGCAATGCCCAAGGCACAATTATTGTGAAACTTTGTTAATATTGGTTTGCATGTGACTATTGCAGTAAAACTCTAATATCCATCATGGTTGTTAAATGTTTTAGTTTGATTCTTTTCTATCATGGATAAGTATTGAAAGATAAGTTTATTTTTTTTAACTATGATAGCATTCTCAATGATTAGTTTAACACTTTTCTATCATGGTTAACTTTTCTTATGAATCAAATTTCTTTCATAACTATGGTAGCCCTTCTCAAATGTTTTACTAAGTTTTTTTTTTCCTATCATGATTAATATTCATAAATTGTGATTTTAACGGTTAGTAAGTGGTTAAGAAGAATGGTTGTTACTTTTTCTTCTCGGTATCCTCTCCCCAACGGCGGTTGGGGGAGAATGAGTCTGGTGTGCAAGCATGACTTAGAGATATGGATGGTTAGGGTATTAAAGAAGATAACAAGATCTGAAGCAATGCCGGCTATAGAAAGGAAGAATGAGGATTGGAGGATCAAAGCAAGATTGACGACGTTGAAAGTGGAATAGTTGACAAAAGATTTGGGATCGTTGAGGAAAGGAGTGAAGATGGTGATATTGAAGATGGTTTGGGATCAAAGTTCTAAGCCTGAGATCAGCCGGGGGGATGGAGGTTGGGTAAAAGGAAGATCAATACTTCACAGGCAGATCTACCGATCTCTCAACGTCTATTCCACTTTAGTTTGGGGCTTTAGTTTTCTCTCCTATCATGATAGGCATGCCTTTGAGAAGATTGATTTTAATTTGAGATTTAATAGTAGCTCCACTGTTTTTGTTACATCAAGTTTTGTTGCAGTGATGTGGTTTTGGAAGTTTTGTGAACCGTTTAGCTTTCTTGTAGCTTTCACTAGAGCTTCACTAAAAATTAAGAATGAGGCATGGTGGGTGTAGATGTCTCAGTTTTTTGTTTGATCTTAAAACTCAAGTAAGCGCATTTGTTGTGACAGGTGGTTCTGAAATGGGAGGGAGTGAGTTTTTATTTTATTTTTTAATTTTTTTGGCTTTGATGATGAGTTGCTGGTGGACTGGAAATCTAAAGGATAAAATGCTTCTAGTTCTTTATTTTGGCTATGCTTAGTTAGGCTATGAGTGGTGTAGCTTTCTTATTGAGCACATATCTCTTGTGAAAAATGTTGCTTAGTGTTGGAACTTAGCTTCTTTGATTAAGCTAAGGAGTTGTGGTCTTTATGGTCCCATCCCCCCCCCCCAAAAAAAAAATTCCCAATTTTTCTCTTATTCTATTTATGGCTCCTCTGGATGGATATTTGGCCATTGCTCATTCTCTGTGCTATCTTGATGATCTTCTTTGCTCTCATGGAAGAGAACCAAAACTCTTTTAGCATTGGAGGATAGTTGTGTTGCAGTTTCTGTTCTTTTGTTGTTTTGGTGTTGGACGAATATCGTTTCCAGTTTTTTTTCTTTGTTGGATTTTTTTCGTCTTTTTGTTTTCGTTGTCTTGGATTTTTGAAGTGTATTGGTTTTCTGTTTTAAAAATAAATAATGCTTTATTTATCAGATTTCATGTCATGCAGGAAAAAGTCTCATTAAGTTATATGTATATTTCTTTTGGCAAAAGAAATAAATGAGTAAATATTCCAACTTCGCCATTTTGAAAACAGACTTAATTCAAACAAAAGAATTGAACCGATGAATACCCTTAATATAATTAATTGTCGACAATGTATGCATTTTTTTTTTGGGGGATACTTTTTGTGGGGTGATATCAGGTTGCTATCAAAATTTGTATTTTATGATAAAATCAAATTCGATCCATTATGATGGACCAAAAAGTGAGATCCGCAAGAGTCGATATGCATATTTAGTCCATCATAATGATGGGCCCGCGGCTCAAATGCGCGTAAAGTTCAAAAGATTTTTTTTTTTTTTTTTGGATAAAGAGTTCAAAGGAATTTTTAATTTCACATTTTACAGATATCATAATTTAAAAAGATTTTTGGATGCCATAATGTAAAAGATTTTAATGCAGATATCTTTTCTACTACTGAAAATTAATTTTTTTTATAAAAGTATATATTTTTTCTTTTAACCTTATAATTTATACAATGTTTTGATTTGATCATTTAACTTTAAATATATATATTTTAGTCCTTTGATCTTAAAATCTTAAAATGATAATCTTTTGCAATAATTATGATAGTTTTAAAAATTAAATTTAATATAAAATAAATAAACATGTTTTAACAAGATTTTAATATCATCAATTTTTTGTCAATCATTTTAGAATTACAAGACTAAAATATATTTTTTAATATTAAGGGATTAAATTAAAACATGATATAAAGTCAAATAACTAAATATAAACTTTAATCTTTTTCTTAATAAAAAGTTCCCACCATGGTCTAAAAAGTCAATGGGAACTTATATTTTTTTTTATTTTATTTATAAAATACTTTCAACATTTTTTAATTGGACTTAAGAAAATCTTAAAACTCACTAGCATTGTCAAATAACTGCTCATAATTTAGGTAGAAATTTTTGGCTCTGATCAACCGCCACTTAGGGGAGTATGTTGACGAAAGAGGATAGGCTCTCTTGTTCTTGTTTGTATCTCTTTTCAGGTTTGAATTCAGGTTTTATTCAAAGAAAAATATAACAAATAATTTTGGGTTAAGGTACCAGCATCCTAAAATATTTTCACAGATGTATCCAACATCCTAAATTATTTTTTTAAGTGCATCCAGCACAGTAAAATATTTTTTGATGCATTCAGCATCTCAAAATATTTTTTTTTAAGTTATCCAATACCCAAAAATATTTTTTGGGGATGCATCAAGGTAAAAAAACTACTTTAAGATGTTGGGCATCCCCAGAAAATACTTCAGAGTGCTGGATGCACCACAAAATACTTTAGAATGCTGAATACATCCAAGAAAATACTTCGGGGTGCTGTATACACTTTAACCCAATAATTTTTTTTCAAAAAAGTCCTACTTTATCCATATTAATTATCTCCTTAAAAAATTCCACTCTCTTTTTTTTCCAACGAAAATTTCTACTTCTTTTTATATCAACATTGAATACTGGCAAAAGAGAGAAATTGCAATAAATAATTAATGTGATGCTTTATTAAAAAAAGCATCACAAAATTCTTCCAGAGCGTCTTATAAACACGATCGGAAAAAACTTATAATTCCAATTAATTCTTAAAGCAAGGAAATAAATATAAGATAAAAATTCCAATGAATTCTTTAATTATTGAATGATCCAAATACACTCATCCCACTCATCCACACAGGATGTTTACTGCCTAGGATTCTTCAAAATACTCCGAGTCCCCGACCATCATCTGGAATATTTTACAAAGTCTAGCACTCTAGTTTCATAATTCTTTTTTCTGAATTCAACTTCATATTTGACTTGTTGGCCAAAAAAAAAAAATTCATATTTGACTTCACCCGCTGCCAATGTTCAATTTTAGCAATACTCAAATATATTTGATTTGTAAAACTCACAAGGACACTTTATACAGAGTCTACTACTAACCCTTCAACCTGCTGTTTTGCAAGGTATCTTTCCCTTCTGTTTTTCTGGAAACAAAGGTTCATGTTATAACATTTATCAAATGTAAGAATATTGATCTAATAAAAAGAATTACGAGTATTGGGGAAAATGACAATTAAAATCCATAACTCATGTTAATGGCAGCTAAGAACAATCAAAATTTCTCTCAAAAGCTGCAGCAATAAGTTTCAATTGTCAGTTGATCCAACCATCTTTTTCTTGGTGAATAAAACTTTAGGTGAGTTATATCATAGCGTTTACTAAGAAACAAGATTCCTCGCAGCTTAAAAAAGTACTTATAGAAAAACCTTTTAAGTATCTCAAATTTGATAATGAAAATGTCTTTATAACATCTAAAAAACTAGGTTGCAACTTCGAAAAATATGAACAATAACTCTAAGAAGCACCGATGGAATTTATCCTTATGATTCTTGAAAATAACTTTTTAAGGTTATTAACTTGTTATCATTAATATAAAGTTATGATTCCTGAACTGTCATTTTCCCAAAAGATTGCAAGGAAAAAGGATACTCACCCATTCATCTATGACTTCTCCTTGCCCAATAATCTCAGAACCTGAATCTTCTGGACCCTTCTTACGAGCCTCAAGTGCAGCATCAGCTTCAGCCAAGTGCCTCTTCAATTTGTCCAAAGCCTTGATGGTACAAAATTAAATCTCATGATTAATTAGGCGATCTGTAATTAAATTGTAAGCTAGCTTCCCATAAGCAAGTACACTGAAATAGCAGATACTGAATCTTTAACACAAAACAAGAGTCTCTCAAGTCAAATAGTGCACAAAAATAAACAAAAGGGAGAGAAGTGGGGTAAAGAAGTAAAGAGAAGAAATGCACAGAATTTGGCACTGCATGTAAAGCATAGATGAATCCTTAAAGACTTACAGGACTAGCTTGTTCTGGATCTATGAACACAACCCGCAAAATCTGCTCCACTGCTACTTGGTCCTTCTGCTCATCAAACTTTTGTAGGAAAGAAGAAACACTAAATATACTAGAGAAATTTAAAACAAAAGAAGAGAATGTAGGCCACTAGAAGATCGTAAGGTTGTCAAGAAAACAGGATATAACAGAATGAGAACAACAGGAACAGAATATTGAAAAAAAAAAAAACTAATATGAATTATGAATGTCTTAAGAAAGATATTTTTGGAATTGCAGAAACATAGACAAACATGATATTTAGATATTCAAAACATAGCATAATAGTGGGTCAATTTCAATCATGTACAACTGAAATGAAACATATTTTGAATAGGTGCAAAAACAAGGGATATGAGAGCTACGGTAAACACAATAGCAAGATTTCCTCAAAGGGAAGGGTGTCCAGGTAAGGGGCAATGGTAGGGTCAAACAACATAAAGATCAACATCTTATTTTTATGACAAGGGTAAACATGGTGAGTTCAACTAACCAGCTCAGGTACATAATCAACTTCTCCTTTGACTTTCAGGCTCATGATTTTAAATTTGAGTCCACTTTTTTCAGGCTTTTCATTATTTTCCGGTGCCTCTACAAACTTAAACACTGGCAAACCAAATAAAAATTGATGAGATAAAGTTTTCCCTTTAGTAATCATATGTTCCACACCATAAGGAAAAGTAACAAGAAATTAAATGTTGATCATTACTACCAATTGCAATAATACTCTCGCCAGGTGCAAGGACAGACCCAGGAGGACGCATGAAACAGCTTTTGGGTGATGTTGTTTGGAACTGTATATACATAACAGAACAAAGAAATCAAATTTTAACGAGTTGCAGATAAATTTGTTTTTGCAGCAATAGATAAGTACTCTTCAGGAAAGTTCAGACAAAGCAGCAGCAAGGATAAATAGTTGGGCTTGATAAGTGAGGGGTAACAAAAAATGAAAAATCCAAAGAGGAAAATTATAAACAAGGTAAGAAATAAACAGATACTTATGTTTAACCATACCTTGAAAGCTACATGGGATTTGCTAGTGTTTTTAATCCTAATGGCACTCTTAGCCTGCTTCCCTGGTTCATCTTCACAGGAAGAACGGTAAAGTAAGGACAAAAATATGATAGAATGCGAGTTAAAATCATATGGGAGAGCATTACAAGAAGACAATACATAAATAAAGCAAGAAAACTAAACAGATGGGCACCCATTAGCCCGTAGGCATACACTAGATATGCCCTGTTCTGTGTCCGCATAAGCTAGTGCAATATTAAAAGACCTGGGGAAGCTGCATGATCATGCCATCTTATTTGTTGTCAAGCTCAATTTTTTGATATCCAGAAGAAATTTGTTTCTAAACGCAACTTTCTCAAGAAAACATATTTACTATAGAGCTGACATTAAGAAACATAATAGCATGAGACGGCTATTTCCACAATAGAAGTTCACCTTATCTGTCCTTTAACTCAATTACAGGCATATGGAAACTAAACTTTGGGATCAAGGTATGGAAGCTCGTCACAGTTATCCCTTTCAGAAGAGCAAATATATCATTACTTAATGCTGACACCAAAAAAGTTACGCTGCAAGTTAAGATTGTTATCACTACTTTTAACTACTTGATAAACAGAAAAATAAAATTAGAATGCCGATGGTATTCATTAATTAGACCCAGAAATGGTCCATTCCTTGCATTCATCACGTCAGAATGGCTGGGATGGACTCAATTCGTCCTAAATACATACAGGTCAACGGGAAATTAAAAAGAGTCCACTCTTGTAATACATAAACTAATTAATCCCTCAGGTTATGGATGATATGAATATAAAGGAAATGTTTTGTCCACAAGAAACGCCCAAGATAAACAAAACGAAAAACTCATTTTCTAGATATAAATATCTAGATTGAGTACCAAAGTAAGTACACTCATTCACAATTTTTCCCTCTTAGGAGAGAGCAACCCAGCGTGATGAGTTACGAAAGTAGCTAAAATAATTTTGTCAATCCTTAAATTATTCGGCAACTCATTCGCAATTTTTCCCCTCTTAGGTGAGAGCAACCCAGGGCGATGAGCTACGAAAGTAGCTAAAATAATTTTGTCAATCCTTAAATTATTCTGCAAAATTTTCCCCAACTTCGCCCCTTCAAATTCTTACTTCCCAAGTGGTGATGATTGGTAATAAAGCCTCATGTTCCGTGAAGTAATGCTGAGCAACTATCATGTGAACAAGAAAGTACCGAAGAGAACTTATCCGAACTAGTGCTACAGTCAAGAACCAATAAGCAGCGAATAAAAAGATTATTCGAGCCATCTAAAATTGAACGCATAAATATTGTTAGGCAATTTTGACCCAAATTAAATTTAACGACCAAAAATATTAACCATTTTTAACCACAGTTACTAATACTGGAGAATTCCATTTTAAGACTTGATCGCCCCATCTGATAAAATCACTAATAAAACCCAGTTAAGGAAATCATAACCAAGACCAAAGATCGTTATCAAACTCTAGATATTAAATTGCATACCAACTAACAGACGAATTCATCAAATTTTTTATAATTAAGGTATTTGAGAGGGACGGGAGCAAAAATGGTGGAAGCAGATCATACAAGGGAGGTAAAGCTTCTTGGAGGGATCAAGCTTGAGACGACGTCGGGTTGGAAGAAGCGATCGGGCGACCGAAGAAACCGAATTGGAACTATGAGACGTTGAACCCTCAACCGGAGGATGAGAAGAGGGAGCGTTAGCCGCCGGCGTGGTAGCTGCAGAATGACGAAACGGAAGCTTGAAAAACTTCCAGACCTTGCCGTCGGAGTGTGATCGCCAGTTAGATATCGCCATGCCGTTGTTCTTCCTCCCCACTCCGAGCTACTTTAACAGCATGCAGAGGCCAACAACTTCCATTACTGACTTCGACTTTGGGAAATTCAAAGTCTCCGGCAAATTGAAATGGAAAATTGAACACAGTTTCGCTCTTTTGACTTTTGATTTGACGCAGGAAGAAGCAAACGGGGACTTTGGAAAGGGGAGTACACGGCCTCATGCCCGTGTCTTTGCGTAAATAAATAAATAGTTTATAAATAAATAGTATATCCACGGGTTCTTTTTTCGGCCTGGTTTGTCCGTGGTTTCACCCCGAACATGAGATTAATCAAGTTAATTGGCTTTTTTACCCATACACTATATATAGTAAAAAAAACAAAAATAAAAACAAAAATGTTACAATTTCAAAAATATTTAAATAGTTCTTTAGGTGAATAATCTTCAAAGTCATTTTTTTTGTGAACAATTTCTTCAAAATCACTATTGGTCTGCATAAAGTGATCGGAAATCGTTCTTCTGATAAACAATTTCAAAACTTCATCACCTGAAGGATGAGTTCCCACCTTTTTTCCTAATAAATGAAAATAGAATTATTAGCATAATAATTTAGCAATCATTTGAATGAAAAAGCATGACTAAATAATCAGAAAGGGAAAATGAAGCAAAAATACCTATTGAAATTTAAAAAGACAAATAAGTCATGCAAATAAGTGAAAGAACCAAATGGGCATGAGTATGAATCTGGAATACGCAAAGTTTGGTGAAAAGACTAAAATGCCACTGAGAGATGAAAAGTATAAAAAAAGTTTTGCTTTTAGGTATTATTATAATCAAGAAGCCTTTGACAATATTTGTAAAGTGATTAACAACTTTCGAATTGAATTCAAACATTTTCGTAATGTGTTTTGTAACCTATTATTAGCCACTTACAGACTTAATGAAATTCAAGAGGATTGAGTTGAACAAAGTTACTGAATATTATGGAACATGACTGACAACTTGCGAAATAAAATAGACCATTTCCATAATGCATTTTGTAACTTGTTATTAGCTATTTCCAAACAATTTTACTAAACATATAACGTGATTAACAACTTGTGAAATGAATTTGACTATTTACATAACACGCTTTGCAACAATTATTAGCTAAGATTCAAGAGAGCAAGTCTTGACCTTTGTGTGATTTCTTGGTCCTAATGAGTTATGTGAACCTTATGGCTATGTTTAGGATCTTGGAACATCCAAGAGGATGTTTGATGATGTTGACTGAAAACTTTCATGGTTGGGAAGTCAAGGGAGTCAAAGGAAAAGCAAGAGGAAAGCTTGAAGTACAAGGTAGTGAACTTACCTATTATCATTGCTTGATGTTATATGCTTGTGTATTGATATGTACATGATGTTTGAATGTTGTTGTGGCATGTTTTGGTTGCTGTAATTGCTATTTATGATGAGTAGATTATGTTTCCATGGCCATGCATCAAGAAGGTAACATTAAGCATGCTAATATGTCATTAATTAACAAGAGAATAAGCAAGTTGTATTTAATGCATTAGCATCCATCTAGCATGATTAATGTAGTATTGTTTGTTACTATGATTCTCCCGAATCTCACCCCTCCCTAACCAACCATTTAGGTCAATCAATGATGGGCAATGATGGCATGAGAAGGAAGGAGAAGGAAGTGGAGAATTATTGATGTTAATGAATAGTTAAGGATTAATGTATAATACTCCTATTATGTAAATTATGTTTATAGATGCCAACAATGCAATGTGATTAATTAGAATGTCAATGCATGAATGGAAATGTATGAGAATGAATGGGAAAGAGTAAGCCCAAGTTATACATGCCAAAGTAATAAAAAAAAATTAAAGCAAGAAAAAGTAAAGAGAAAAACATAGATCTTGGAGCAGTCAGCTTCCAGCTCTAGTTTGACCTATCAAGTGAATAAATTAAGCCACAAATTTTGGTAAGCATATAATACACATCCCAAGCTTTAAAATGAGAGGTAGATCACCTCACTTGGATGTGTACACAAAGAGATATGATTTTCCAAAGTTGAAGCAAAAAATCTGAAAGTTCCAGAATTTACCAAATGAATAGTAAAGTTTACTGAATAAAATGTATGAATTGGCAAGAGATAAGTCCAATTTTCTATTTTTCCCTTAAAGAGGATTGAAAGAGCTTTAAATAGAAATTTGGAGCACCTCCATACAATTTTTGTAGAATTAGTTATGATTTTTTAAAGTTGGACCTGCAATATGAAAAAATGCACAGTGAACAGTCCCCGAGGACTTAAAGGAAAATTTTAATTTTTGGGCCTAAGTAAAGCTTCCACATATACATTTCGCTTCCGAACGCGTACTCTGAGGGGTAAAAGTAAGGATATTTCAGGTTACAAAATCCTAACTTTCCAATTTTGATTCTAATACTTCCAAAACTTGTCCTTAGGTTTACCCTATACAATTTTTATTTTAAACCCAATAGAAGCATCAAAACTCATAAAATCACATCCTAGGTGCAATACTTGGTTTGACCGAGAGGTACCCCCAAATTCCATATCATGCAATTTTCTAATTTTAATGCAATGCCACCTAGATCAAGCTTTAACCAATGACTTTAATCTAGGTTTAACATCAAAATCATCCTCCTTTAAGTATAGAGAAATTTGGCCAGCACCTCCACTAAGGGAAACCAAGAATTTTCAACTATAAAACTCAAGAAAACATAGCACAAGACAAGGTAGAACCTTGAACTAACTTTGTATCCAAGCTTGTACACCCAAAGTAGCTAGCTTTTCCTTGCTTGAACTTCAAGAAAAATTTTGCAAGAGGTTCCTCCTTATAGCCAAAATGTGTGTGTGTGGGGGGGAGGGGGAGAAGATGGCTATTTATAAATCAAGTGTTATTTGCTTGCCTCTAAGTTCAACCAATTTACAAGGCTTATGTGTCAATTTCCTATGGCTTCTTACACTAATTACCTTGATTAAATTAATTTTAATTGAAATTAAAATACAAGTCAAAATCCTCTTCATTCCTAGCTTACCAAGTGACGCAATGCTAGCTAAGTAAAAGAGAAGAGTGTACTTGTGTTTTATCAATACACTTTGCACCAAAATAAATTCCTATTCCACAATTCTAGTATCCCACGTTAATTATTTTCAGTCATATCCATAATATGTTCCTATCATTTTTCTCTTTCCAGAATGGTCCTCCTTTGTTACCATCACAATTTTTATTAATGGTAAGGAAGAAAACCAATTTAATTACTATAAATAAATTCTTTACTCGGGAAGAAATTTCTAGAGTTTCTGAACTAATAAAAGACTTCTGTCTACTTCATAATCTCTTATTAATTCTAGAGAAATCCTATAAATTTTCTTGGGACTTAATTATCCTCAAAGGTATTTATTTGAAATTTTCCAAATAAAAAAACCCCAATTAGCTTAATTAGCCCTTAAATTCCTTTAAAGTTTTACTAGGGGTAATTTGGGAATAAAACCACTTGTGCAATGTCATATAATTCCCAAGGCACATTATCCATATTTTTTTATCAATTTTCTGAGGCTCTGAAATATTTTCAGTAATTAATTTTTGACCAATTTTTCTTAATTAGTCATTCCTCCATAATTACTGAAAATTCAATAATAATTATTTTCCATCATATTTGTAACTTCTGAGCCTAGTATACTGTCCACAGAATTTTTCTCTATTCTCTATAATTGTCTTATAACTTTTGGAAATTTCCAACATATTTTTCAAAATTACATAAACTTGCCATAACTCTTAGAAATCACACTTTTGCCCCAAATACTTATTTAACTTTTAGAGTTGTATCATCTCATTTTTTCTTACTATTCTGGCCCTTAAGTTTCTGGGAACATTCCTACTCTTATTTACCAAATAACCAGATGTGACATCCAGGGGTTGTAAAGTCCCTGAAGGTTTTTGGTTCTCAATTTTGATTTTCTGACAAGTGAGGCACCTTGACACATACTGTGTAATTTTCTTCTTCATTCCAAGCCACCAAAACAACTTTTTGATGCCTGGGTAATCTTAGTCATTCTCAGATGAATGATATATTTGCTTTTGTGTGCCCCGTTTAAAATCCTATGTCGAAGATCATCAATTGAAGGAATATATTCTCCCTCAGAACTTTGACAATCCCTCTATTGATATGTCAAAATCTTTTGTCACCCCTTTCAACATTTTATCCTTGAAAATTCTTGCTGAGCGATCTTGCCTCTGTGCTTCTTGATGTATCCTTATTTTATAATATATTTTTATATATAATGAAGGGATTTTATAATGTTTAAAGGGCTTAAAATGCAGAAGATACTCATATTTTGAATTAAAAAAATTATATAAATTAATTACTTAAAAGTGCATTTTTATTATATTTTTGTAATTTCTCTTTTGAAACGTATCTTTGCTTTGATTCCAGAGAATATTCTGTCAAGCAAAATATGGACCCCATGGAAACTACATTTGTGACAGCCACATGGCATTGAAAGAGAATTTTCCAATTATCTAATTGAAAATTATTCAAAATATCCCCCCAAATTATCTCTTATCTTCCACCATCTTGAATAATTCTTTTATCATTGTAACATCCCGACTTTTGAGCCTAGAAGTATCAGAAATAGTTTAAATTAGATGGGCTACCAGACCCCTATTAGCAGAAGTCCCAAAGACGAGAAAGGAAGTTAAAGCAGTTTTAGGAACTAAACTACAAAGTGAAAGTTTTAAGGGGCTAAAGTGTAATCAAAGTTAGAGACTCCAGTAAAGTCTCGAAGGCTCAAAAAGAGAAAAGAGGCTAAATACAGGTCAAGGGTTAAGTTAGAAAACTCAAAGAGAGGATTGTATAAAGTTAAGTCCAAGCAGGGACTAAACTGTAAATTTAGAAAGTTATGACCAAAAAAGGATAAAAATGGAAGAGTATACAGAGAATTCCAAGAAAATCCTAGAAAATGAAAAATAATATTCTAAGGCTCTTCTGTGAAGAAAAATAACAAAAATACCCCTGAGACAGCTTAAATGGAATTTATAAGGTTATGGCCAGTAAAAAGTACATTGTTCGAGGTAATTATTTAAAATAGCAAGATACCTCAAAAATGTACACAAAAATGAGGTTAAATGGTTGAAAGGTTGTACTAATTTATAAAATTGGTCCCGCAACCAAAAGGCCAGTGGAATGGCTTTAATAAAT